AGGCTGATGAGGCTGAGGCTGAGGCTGAGGCTGAGGCTGAGGCTGATGCAGGCTGAGGCTGAGGCAGGCTGAGGCTGAGGCTGAGGCAAGGCTCAAGGCAGACTGAGGCTTTGGCTGAAGCAGGCTGAGGCTGAGGCTGAGGCTGAGGCTGAGGCAGGCTGAGGCTGAGGCTGAGGCAGGCTGAGGCTGAGGCAGGCTGAGGCTGAGGCTGATGCAGGCTGAGGCTGAGGCAGGCTGAGGCTGAGGCCGAGGCTGAAGGCAGACTGAGGCTGAGGCTGAAGCAGGCTGAGGCTGAGGCTGAGGCAGGCTGAGGCTGAGGCTGAGGCAGGCTGAGGCTGAGGCAGGCTGAGGCTGAGGCTGAGGCTGATGCAGGCTGAGGCTGAGGCAGGCTGAGGCTGAGGCCGAGGCTGAAGGCAGACTGAGGCTGAGGCTGAAGCAGAGGCTGAGGCTGAGGCTGAGGCAGGCTGAGGCTGAGGCTGAGGCAGGCTGATGCTGAGGCAGGCTGAGGCTGAGGCTGAGGCTGATGCAGGCTGAGGCTGAGGCAGGCTGAGGCTGAGGCCGAGGCTGAAGGCAGACTGAGGCTGAGGCTGAAGCAGGCTGAGGCTGAGGCTGAGGCAGGCTGAGGCTGAGGCTGAGGCAGGCTGATGCTGAGGCAGGCTGAGGCTGAGGCTGAGGCTGATGCAGGCTGAGGCTGAGGCAGGCGAGCTGAGGCCGTGGCTGAAGGCAGAGATGCTGAGGCTGAAGCAGGCTGAGGCTGAGGCTGAGGCAGGCTGAGGCTTAGGCTGATTGCAGGCTGTCACTTGAGGCAGCAGGCTGAGGCTAAGGCTGAGCTGATGCGGCTGGCTGTCTGGCAGGCTGGCTGAAGGCGGAGGCTGAAGTGCGGAGGCTGAAGGCGACTGATGCTGAGGAGACTGATGGCTGAGGCTGAGCCGGCTGAGGCTGGGCTGAGGCAGCTAGGCTGAGACTGAGGCAGGCTGAGGCTGAGGCAAGGCTGAGGCCGAGGGCCGAGGCTGCAGGCAGACTGAGGCTGAGGCTAGGCATGCTGAGGCTGAGCTGAGGCAGCTGAGGCTGAGGCTAGGCTTGAGGCCATGGCTGATGGCTGATAGCAGGCTGAGGCTGAGGCTGAGGCTGATGCAGGCTGAGGCTGAGGCAGGCTGAGGCTGAGGCCGAGGCTGAAGGCAGACTGAGGCTGAGGCTGAAGCAGGCTGAGGCTGAGGCAGAGGCGGGCTGAGGCTGAGGCTGAGGCAGGCTGATGCTGAGGCAGGCTGAGGCTGAGGCTGATGCAGGCTGAGGCTGAGGCATGCTGAGGCTGAGGCCGAGGCTGAAGGCAGACTGATGCTGAGGCTGAAGCAGGCTGAGGCTGAGGCTGAGGCAGGCTGAGGCTGAGGCAGGCTGAGGCTGAGGCTGAGGCAGGCTGAGGCTGAGGCTGTGACTGCGACTGCCGTTGCCACTGCGACTGTCATCGCGAATGCGACCACGACTGCGAGAACAGCAGAATTCTACAACTGGATTCTCATCCGAATCTTAAGGGGAATGCTTCCAGATATGCTCCTACACATCGATGTTAGGTTGCTTTGCCGGGATAATACGAAGGGAATGGGCCAACTTTTGCGTCTAGGGGCCCTCTTGGGACGCATGTTGGAAGCTTCTTGGGGCGTCTTGGGGGCGTCCTTGGACGTCTGGGGTCTCCTGGGGCCTCTTGAGGGGCCTCCTGGGGGCCTCCTGGCGGCCTCTTGGGGCGGAAGGCTCGAGCTTGCGGTTCGTGGTCACCCTCTGGGCCCCCTCTCGGGTCCGTCTTGGGGCCCTCTTGGGCCATCTTGGGCGCCTCTTGGGCCGTCTTGGGGCCCTCTTGGGCTGTCCTGGGGGCTTCTTGGGCCGTCTTGGGGCGGTCTTGGGCGCCTCGTGGGCCGTCCTGTAACGTCGGAAAGCCCAAAAAGCAACTTTGTTGAAAATTGTACGTTTTACGAGGATGGCCAATTTGCGTCTAGTGGCCCCTCTTTGGAGCATGTTTGGTAGGCTTCTTGGGGCCTCTTGGGGGCGTCCTTGACGTCTGGAGGCCATCTTCCAAAAAAAATCAATCTTCAAAAATCAAAAAAACACAACCAAACAATTCTTCAAAACTGTCAAAAAACTTCAAAAAAACACAACAACAAAAAAACAAAACAAATCAACAAACCAAAAAAACAAAAAAAACAATCACTTCAAAAAAAAAAATTCAAAAAAAAAACAAAAATTCCCAAACAAAATCAACAAAAATACAACAGAACATCTTCAAAAAAAAAAAACAAAACAGCCATCTCGGAGCCCTCTTGGAGGCCTCTTGGAAGTTTCTTGGGCCGTCTTGGGCGCTCCTGGGGCCGTCTTGTCTGACCGGGGAGGCCTCCGGCAAGCCCCGACGAGCCTCCGGGCCCCCCGGGGTGCACATTTGTGGTCGGGGTCCCGGCCCCGGGCCCCCGGACCCGGTGCGCCGTTATATGTATATGCTTTTTAAAAAACAAAAAAAACTCTGGGCCCAAGCCCCTTCCGGGAACAGAACAGCATGCTGATGGCTGCGCCACAGGCTGCGCACGCGGCGGCCGAAACTAAAGCGGGCTCCTGACGGCTGCGCCATCACGATGCGCGCGCGGCGGCCGAAAACAACACGGTCTGCCAGTGGGCCTGGCGAGCCTGCCAGCTCACCTCGCCAGAGAGCAACGAACAACGGGCTACGCACGAGCAGGAACTCATCCTCGATCCTTCCTAGGGCGCCACCAATAGTGGCCCCTAGATGGGGTCCGAGTAGACGGGGCCGGAGGATTTCACAGCATCGGCGATGCATCGGCGATGCACCGGCGATGCATCGTCGACGTGGGCGATGTATCGGCGACGTCGACGTGAAGCAAATCGGGCTCCATATCGAGCCGCGTCGCCAATGCATCGGCGATGCGGCACGATCCTCTGGACCCATCTACTCGGACCCCATATAGGAGGCCTAGAACAAAGGTCAGGAGCTGCGCCACCCCCTTCCTAGTTTGTCCAAGTCATCCCACATGCGCCACGATGCCGTCCGCTCGTAGTGGATTGCCCCACGGCCCATACACTTGCAAGAGCTTTTAAGGGCCCAGGCACTGAATTTGTCAGAACTCCTTTTCGGGGATGGACAGACCTCCCTTTAGTAAAACGTGGTTTAGTGAAAACGACCTGAGGCCCAAACCTGGCGGGCGCAAGCCTGGCAAGACGTAATGAAATAAGAAGAGGCGCCATAAAATCTGGGGAACTATCATGGCCCCCGCCATGATATCCACCCCCCCCTAGTAGTCATCACCCCCCTCTTTTCCGCCTCCGACCTTTACGCGCCGCGGCGCACTTCTGTTGTGCAGCGTGGGCCTCGGGGACAGGAGGTGATGGGGGTTCGGCGCTCCCCCGCGGAGCCGATCCCCCCAGCAGAAGGAGCCATCCGGGGGCATCCCGGTGAGGTCCCCCGCCCGGCGAGGCCCTCCCCGAAGCTTCGGAGAGGTCCCAGGAGGCATCCAGAGGGCTCCCCCCAGCAGGAGCCCTCCAGGGGCATCCTGGTGAGGTCCCCAGCCTGGCGAGGCCCTCCCCGAAGCTTCGGGGAGGTCCCAGGGAGGCATCCAGAGGGCTCCCCCCCCGACAAAAAAAATGAAGACGCGAAAGAACCTCGAGCCTCGGTGCTGCCAGATGAGCGACGAAGAGAAGCGGGTGTGACGAGCTACGCATGGCGAAATTGACGACTTTACGCCGCAGCTGCGCGGGACTCCAGCGTGGCACACCGCGCGGCAAAAAAGACCAGAGGGCCCCAGGCGCGCCCAGGCGGCGCGAAGAACTGGGGGCACAGGAGGCCAGGATCGCTGCTGTAGTGTTGCACCTTAGGGAGGCACTCGCCTGTCCAGTCGCGCCCCTGTCCGCGTCGAGTCCGTGTCGAATCCATGTCGGACTCGTCGAAGCCGAGTCGAGCCCACGTCGAATCCGCGTCCGAAACCGCAGCAAGCCCACGTCGGGCACGAGAAAGAGACACCGATTCGGGGGGGACAGACGAGGCCCCCGAAGATGCGACGCGGAGGAGGAAAAGGCAACGCTGCCGCTGCCCTGCCCTCGCTTTCGCCGTGTTGGGCCTCCGGGGAGGCCCTCGCCGCCACGGCTGGACTCGCCTCGAAATCCTGGCCAGAGCGCACCCCAGGAGAAGTCTGGGAACCCGCGGTAGTGGAGGCCAGTCCGCAAGAAGCCTTCCACAAGAAACCCAACCCTGAAACCCCAGGACGTCCATGGATTCTTGGTGTGGGAACGTCACGCTTTCCATCGCAAAACCATCGAAACCCAAGAAACCCAGGGCACCCTGGAGGTATGCAGGGCGTTTCTTGGCATGGGCCTCCACTGCATCGGCATCTCCCCGAGGCAGCTCCCGAGAGGGCAGGGGGCAGCCAGCGCCGCCTCGGGAGCTGGGGCCGGCTCGCGACGTGCGCCGCGCCAGGGGCGCCTCGCTCGGCACGGAGCCGGACTGGCCGCGCCAGGATGCGCACCAGCGCCGTGCAAGTATCGGGCCGCATCGCATCGACGGAACGCTGGGACCGAACCCGATCGGGCCGGGCTGGACCGTGATCGGATCGCATCGACCTGCTCGAAGCTTGTTCATGTCCCCCCCTCCCATCCTGAAACGCTCCATGGACCGCCAAGCCAACATCGTCTGGAAGTGTGCACTCCAAGCGCTGGCGGGGAGGGCAGCATTAGAATCAGAAAAAAAACACGCCATAAACATAAACTTGTGGCGCTCCGCGCTGATTTCTTGGATCTGCGCTAGACCCCCCTCCCTGGCGCACGGAGCGCGCCAGGCGCCGGAGGCGCCAATGGGGGGCCCGGCGCGGAGCGCCAGAAAGTTTATGCTTATGGCGATTTTTCGTCTTCGAAGTATTGAAGACCAAACCGTATGTATGTCATGGGGCAGTGCTTCGCGAGCTTCGACCGGATCAGCTTGGGCCCCTGGGGGGAAAGGAGGGAGGGAGGGCCTCGCGGGCTGCTCGCAGACGGGCGCCGCAGCCCGGTGGAAGTCCTGCGGGCCGCCGCCGCCGCCGCAGAAGCGCGCGCCAGGGGCGGCGGTTCCCCCCATCCCCCCTTTTCCCTCTCCTGCAACAATATTTTGGACGCCCGAAATGGGTACGGAAAGAATGGTACATGCCCAACAACGAATAACAAATGTTGTCCCCAAACCAACAGCGCCGCTGTTGGGCAGGCGGCCTTCTGTCTCTAATGGAACACAGGCCGCGCGCGCGTGGACAGCGGAATCCTGTTCGAAATGAACAGGATCCGCTGTTGGGCATTGTACCCATTCTTTCCGTGCCCATTTCGTTCGTGCAGAAATATTCCTCCCTCCCCCTCACATTCAGCACCGCTCCCCAGACGTCCGATGCTTTTGTTCGACACGGGCCCCCAGAACTCTGTCGACCCATCCCCCAGGGCTGGCGCTTCGTCCAGAGTCCGTTCTCTGACGGTGCCGCGGCGCGATAAAGGGCCCCCAGATGCTGGAAATGGCAGAAACCAGAATCCGCCGCGAGCTTTTTTCCACGACGCGAGCACGTCTGCGGCTCCTCCCTCCCCGTCACCTCCCCTCCCTGCACCCCTGCCCAGGGTGGAAGCAGCGGTCCTGCGCCACCGCCTCCCCATGGCAGACCACGAACCTGCGCCGCCGCCGCCGCCAACGCCACTAGGGCCAGGGTTACTGCTGTGAGTTGCACACACAAGGGAGTTCTGGACGAAAGTACAGGGAGGAGGGGGGAGGGGGTGGGGGAGAGGGGGGGGGGGAGAGAGGGGGGATCAGACAGGCACAGGGGGAGGAAGGGGGATGGGGAGGGGAATGTGGAGGGGAAGTTATTCCTCCCCCTCCTTCTCTGCATCCTCCCCCATCCTCCTCTTCCTCCTCCTCCTCTTCCTCCTCCTCCTCCTTTTCCTCCTCCTCCTCCTCCTCCTCCTCCTCCTCCTCCTCCTCCTCTTCCTGCTCCTCCTCCTCCTCCTCCCTCCTCCTCCCTCCTCCCCCTCTTCTTCCTCCGCCTCCCCCTCTTAATCGAAACGACGGGCTTGCGCTCACACGGTCCCGTTTCAAGTCGCACACAAGTTGGCTGCTTCGGGGCAGGCGAATCGTCAAGCTGATCTCCTCCCTCCAGGATGAGGAGGCGGAGACAGCGAATACGGAAGTGAATTTGGTCCGCGGTGGGCGGCTACGGCAGCGGGAGCGGAGATGGCCTTCCTGCTCCTGCTCCTCCTGCTCCTGGAAGCCTGCTCTTCCTGCTCCTTGAGGAAACCTGTTCTTCTCTGCGTTTCTTGTTCCTGCACTTCCTGATTCTGGATGGGGCGCACTCCTGCGCGCTCCGCGAGCCCATACGCGCGCGAGCCGCATGCGGATGCCAGCTGCACACGCGACCTGGAGCCTCGTCCTTTGGATGTGTTTCCCCCTCATCGTCCTTGCCCTCCAGGGGCTCCAGAGAAACCCTGGGGAATCCTGAGAAATCTTGAAGACCCTTGTGAAATAACATTTCTCTCACCATTCTAGCCTTCCCTCGCGAACATGTGTCAAAGTCAGGAGTGCACGTGTTTATTGGCCGACCTCTTACTCATCGACCCTCCTCTTCCCCTGTGCTGCTACTCGGTGCTTGATAGGGGAAATTTCTATTCCCCTTCATTGTCCTCACCCTCCTGAGGAACCCTGAAGACTCCTGAGGACACCTGAGCAATCCTGAGGAATCCTGAAGAGTTTCCTTGTCGCACCATTCTAGCTTTCCAGAGTCCCGAACGCGCGTCACAGTCAGGAATGCGCGCTTGCACTAGCCGACCGCCGACTCCTCGCCCCTCCTCTTTACGCTTGCTGCTATGAGGGTGCTTGACCGGGAGACCCCTCTCCCTCCTCACCGTGCGCGGGCTCGCGCGGTATCCAGACGCCTCTGGAGATCTCTAGAGGCCCCCAGAAGCCTTCGGAGGCCCCAATCACCACCGCCGCACCACCACACAAGCCGTACATCCAGCAAGACGCGCTGGCACGGCAACCGCTGAGGGTCGCCGGAAGGGGAAACTGTGAACGTGGATATCTCACAACGCACCACGGCATCCGCGCTGGAAGACAATAGGGGGGAGGAGAGAGGAATCTGTAGCAGAAGGTGGCTCAGATCTGCAGGCAGAGATTGTGCACACGTCTGACACGCGAACCGCCAAACGGGTCCGAGGACCTCGGTCCCCGGGGGGCCGCGCGAGGCCGCGCCAGGCGGAGCCGCGCGGCGTCTGCAGTGGCCCGTTTTGCCATCGCTCGGACGTCCCTTCCCCGCGCACTGGCTTCGGTTGTTCGCGCGTGCTCTCTCGAGGAGAACAAATCTCGTGTTTGGGAGAGAGGAGAACGGGGTTGGGCGGATGACGGCTAGGAACAGTAGCACCTGTGGGTGCAGTGAGCGACGCCTTCCTGCCGCCCACGGGCATTGAGATCTCCATTGTCTCCCAAGCCCATCCTCCCAACCCGATAATAATTGTCTGCACGAGTTGTTTGTGACATGATCCAGGATGCTCCGCGATGGCCCTCGCCGAAAAAACAACATGCACACGTCCGAGTGATGCCAAGGGCTGGAGGAGGGCTGCAGCGCGGGCCCAGGGCCCACCTGCCATGGCCGAGGCTTCGCCCCAGAGCCGCCAAGGAGCATCCTCGAGAACCGCCGCGCATCTTGCCATCGCTCGGACCTCCATTCTGTGTTTGTCGGCTTCGTGCGACGATTTTTCGCGAGATGGTCCCAGGTTTTTCCCGGTGGTCCCCGCTGAGGAAAACATGCAAAGCGTCCGGGCGATGCCAAGCAGAGGCGCCAGCCTGGGAGGGGGGAGGGCAAGGGAAGGGCGGCCAGAGGGAGGAGCCTCGGGGGGGGCCCAAGAGGACCTCAAGGAGGGCCCCCCCGGGGCCCAAGAGGGCCCCGAGGGGGCGGGGGGCAAGCTTACAGTTTGATGGGAAGCACCCCTGGGAGAAGGAGGGGGAGAAGCAGGGGGAGGTGGAGAAGCAGGAGGAGCAGCTGGAGGGAGCATGAGCAGCCGGAGGAGGAGGGGGGATGGAGAGAATGGAAGTGGATGGTAGGGCAGGCGAGATGACAGGGAAGAAAAGGTGATTGGGAAGGCTGGACGGGGAGTCATAGAGGTGGGGAGTGGGCAGGGGAGGGAATTGGAGAGCTGCAACGCTTGTCAGCCGACTTGAAAGCATGAGGTGGCAAGAGCCGCTCCGCATCTCTGGTGACCACGTCACAGTGCAGCGTGGACAGAGACGTTCAGATCATCAGCTTGCTGTTGTGAGCAGGGCTCGTCCGGGGTCCTTGGCCAGAGTTTGAGACGAGTTTCACGTCGATGGTAATCGATGTGATGTCGCGAGTATGTCTAACCCTATTGGGGCAGATTTTGAAGCGCGTCAGAGGTGTGCGGTATGACTTCGTCGTGCTTGGAGGCGGAAGCGGGGGAGGCAAATCCTCCTCTGACTCCATCTGCTCACAGAAGCGCCCCTTGGCACGAATGACCTTTGGTGCGCGGCCTTGCCGATCGTCGCACGCAGTGCGACGGCAGTGGCCCGCCCTTCCGTGAAATTCCCTGCACTGCCCCCCTGACCCCGACGCCATGTTCGCTCCCCCCCCCGCCCCGCCCCTCCTCTCCTAATCTCCCCTACCCTTCGCTCCTCTCGTCCGAGGCCTTCGATTCCCTTCCTGGCATTCCTCCATCCTCTCACCTCCTCTCCCCCTCCCCCTCCGAAGCCACTATTTCCTCCACGACCCTCCTCCCGTCCCCTCCCCTCCCCTCCCCTCCACCTCCTCCCCTACAACACCACCCTGCCCTCCCAAATCATCCTCACCTCACCTCTGTGACGTTGCGCAGACATTGATCGAAGATCGTCTCCCTCACCTCCCATGCCTTCCCCTGCTCCCTTCACCGACCACACCATCCTCCCCTCCCAGCTGTTCTCCCCGATCCCCCTCGCGATCACCACTACCACCCCAAGGCGAAGGTTGTGTCCCCTAGCATGCAACTATATCCTGGCGAAGGACACACCCATATGCAGCTGTGACTAACGCACCTGTGGGTATCGTCCTCGGCGGAGCTCTCTGCGGAACCACGAGGCGCGTGAGGGGTGTGCTGAGACTGGTGCGGCGGTGGAAGGCGAGCGCAGCCACTGGGGCCTCCGGTGTGTAGCTCCCTACAGACAGGTGCAAACTGTTTCCTCAAGTTTGATTTTCTGGGGACCCACCGACCGACCGACCGACGACCGACCGACGACCGACCGACCGACCGACGACCGACCGACCGGGCGACCGATCGACCGACCGATCGACCGACCGACCGACCGATCGACCGACGACCGACCGACCGGCCGAACAGCCGACCGGACGACCGAGCGAGCGGCCGAGCGGCGGGCTCCTCCCCTCCACGCTCTTCCTCGCCCCATGCGCTCTCGCTGCTCCTTCTCTTCCTTCTCCTCCGCCTCCGCCTCCTCCTCCTCCTCCTCCTCCTCCTCCTCCTCCTCCTCCTCCTCCTCCTCCTCCCCCTCCTCCCCCTCCTCCTCCTCCTCCTCCTCCTCCTCCCAGTATGCCGGCCCACCCTCTCTCGCTCCAGGTGCCCGCCCCCGGGCCGCCGTCGGTGCCGACTCGGGCGGCAGCCGCCCGCGCAGGGGAGGGCGCCCTGCTGGCCCTCCCCTCTCTGCTTCTCCCCTCCTCTCCTCTCCTCCCCTCTCCTCTCCCCTCCTCTCCTCCCCTTCTCCCTCCTCTCCTCGCCTCCCCTTCTCCCCTCCCCTCTCCCCTCCTCTCCTCGGTCTCGCCCTGTTGGGCCTTGTTGGGCCTCCTGGGAGGCCCTCGCCGCCACGGCTGGGCACGCCTCGAGATCCTGGCCAGAGCGCACCCCAGGAGAAGTCCGGGGGCCCGCGGTACAGAGGAGGCCAGTCCACAAGAAGCCTTCCACAGGAAACCCAATCCTGAGACCCCAGGACGACCACTGCGTTTTGGTGTGGGAACGTCACGCTTTCCATCGCAAAACCATCGAAACCCAGGAAACCCA